TATGACAGACTCTGGTCAACATTCCCAGCACAAGGGTGAATGGGGTGATAACGACAGTGTGGAGTGTGAAAGGTTTTCATGAATGCCGCTCGAAGGAGCACACTACACTACATTAAAAATAAGCACGGAAAAAATTTTGACAGGGAAGGCGGGATAGGAGGATATAGGAAATGTGAATAGGCTAGGGCTGAAGGGGAGATACCACAACCGTTTAGCACACGTTTAGTCAAAGGATGGGCTTCATTTGTCTCTTTGACGAGGTGTACGATGCCGGCGAAGCGTCTGGGAATGTACCACGTCCACGGTCCTACTCTGGAAATGATGATGCATACAATGGACTCTGGATTAGGTGCGTTCTCTAAGTCTTCCTACCAATATGACCAAGTTGCGAAAACAAGGTCAAGCAACTTCTATACCGTTCATATGGATGTGAAGTTTGCCTTTAGGGTTTGTTTACTCGTGAGTGTCTTGCAAAAATGTGATAGAAATAGATAACGTAATGTTGAAGATCTGTAGATAAGTCTGAAATAGGCCACCCCAGTGACTGACCTGTTGGGAGCTGTACAGATTCCAACTGTCATATAGTGGCTCGGCTTCTATCGGCACGAACGTAACACACTTGAGAGACAACTATATGATAAGGTCAATTGGGAATGTGACCAAAGGTTAATCTACCCCAGCGGGTGTGCAGGGATGGGGACGACAAAAAGTGGCGGAATGGAAGCGTATTTCGTCAAAGTGAGACTATAATTGATGATCAAAGCTTGCAAATGACTGGAGGGCTCGAGCAAATATGAGCCGTCAATAGGAAATCGGGCATTTGGGAATTGTGCCAGGTGAGACATGATTTCGCACTGACCTCTCCCAAAGTTGTGACTTTTGCTGTGCCTAAGTTTGTGCATCTATCGACTTGCCTACTGCAACGTACAACATCCGATGCGAGTAAGGAAGATGGGCAATTGGAATGGCCAGACACCTCAGACGATAGTTGCCATAGAAATGACTAATCAAGTGAAATTGTGTAAAAGAGAAGACAATTACCTAATGTCATTGGTGAATGGACTGTGTAACTCAGTCCTGGATGTGTCCACAGAGGGCAGATGAGCAAAGCTGTTGGCTAACGCGACAATAATAGCTTGACCTATCAGCAACACACCGTCAACTAGGAAACAAGTGAAATTTCTTCCACTGTCTCGAAGCAGAAAGGAGACCGGAAGATGTGACTCCTTCGAAGTCTTTCCTGGGCAAATCGGTTATAATTCTCGCCATAACGAGGATGTATCCGTATTAAACACAGTCGTCGTCGCAACTAACCATAGTCTTAATGTTGCCGATGTACACCAGTTTGGAAGGATCCATTTTTGGACTGACTACAAATAAGCCTATTTTTGTGATAGACGTCTCAAAAGACCTATGACTTAGTGTAAGAGGTTGACATCGATTTTTTTCAACATCTTCAAAAGGCAGTTTTCACTCAACACAGACATTTTGAAATGCGGTGATTATTGATTTGTCCAAGTTTGCCTCAAGTTCAGTTTAGGCTAAATATGAGAGGCATTCACTCTATTTCGTTTAAGGTGATGAATGACTGGTAGAAGAAGAATTTTCCCACAATGACATGAGTAGAGCTGACGTTTCCATTGAATTTCACATTGTTTTGCTTTCTCAAAAGTTTTCCTCATCCAGGCTGAAGTGGACTGCAGTTTCGACCTCGCATCGGTTATATCAACACCTCCAGCTGGAATCGAACCGTGACAGTGCAGAATGGGAGATTGACACGTTAACCACTCGGCCAAATTGCCACGAGTGAGCTTGGATCACAGGCCAAGTGTGAATTTAAAGGAAGGCCAGGTCTTTTGCTATATCATATTCATATCATATTACTGATTTACTGGTATTCTCGAAGGTCTACTCCAATAGGAAAATAATTAACCTAATCGATTGTTATAGCAAATATATGTTCGCTTCATCGGAAATCCCACCAAACAATATGATATGGCAAAAGGCCTGACCTTCCTTGAAATTCACACTTGTCCTGTGATCCAAGGACACTCGTGGCAATGTGGTCGAGTGGTTAACGTGTCAGGCACCCATTCTGCACTGTCACGGTTCGACTCCCGCTGGGGGTGTTGATAAGACCGATGCGAGGCCTGGATGTGAAAAACTTTTGGAAAAGCAAGGAAATTTAAGATTCAATGGAAATGTCAGCTATACTGATATCATTGTGGGAAAATTCTACTATCAGTCATTTATCCCCTTAGACGAAATAGGGTGAATACCTCTCATATTACTGATTTACTGGTAGTCTCGAAACTCTACTCCAATACGAAAATTAGGCTTAATAGTTTGCCAGTCTGGAAGTAAACACCTTCAGGGCGAATATTAAATTTACGTTGCCCTTTTATTCCTTGCCTTCACTCCAACAGACCAGCATCGATTATACTTTGTAAAAAAAAGAATACAAGCCGATTTTCGAAGAATTCTTGGATAATTTAATCTGTCACGACCCGACCTACACAGATTCAGCACATCTGAAGACTCAAACTCCAAAAGCCATCATTACAAGTCAACCCTTGTTTGGCTTTCGGTTAGACCATATTTTACATTAAACCTGCAGGTTGACTCAAATTTTTGTAACGTTTACCTATTATGTAATGCCAGATTAACGCTTTGTCAATTTGATGCTCTTTATTTGTTTGTAGACTAGAAGTTATAGAGAGTATTATGAAATAATAGTATAAACCTAAAGCCTATCTTAGCCTAAAAAATAAGTAATTCTATCTAATATCTCGGTTATGTGGTGTGTTCCGCTACTTCTGGCCAAAACATCAAAAATGTTAGACCATTATCCTTCTATATTTATATTATGAACTTAATATAACTATCGTATATATGAAGAACATGATTCTTTGGCCTCTGCTTTGGTCGCAGTCTCCTTTTGCTCTATAGAACTGGTCTGATCTAGTTTTCGCAACGTCATCGTGTTGTTTGGGGGACCCAATTCGGCGCACGCTGTCCGAAGTTCTTTGCCATATTAGCTATCAAAATTCCCAGAGTTGAACTGTAAAGTTGGTGCTTTCCCAGCAAAAGATTCACTGAAGATGCCGGCGAAACGTCTGGAAGCATACAAGTCCACGGGAATCATCATAACTATAAAAGCAGAGGACTTCGGACAAGGCGTATTCATCAAGGTTGTCTTGACAGCAAGACCAAGCGGCGAAAACGAGGTCGGACTACTTAATAATGCTATCCCTCTGGCTTATTAGATACATGAACTTATATAACTTTCCTTACTATAAAATTTGTTTGATCCTGGCTACGCAAATTGGTTATATTGGCAAGAAGACATAAAGGAGCTCAACTTGTCCGGAGGCCATAGTATGAATGATAAGTTCCAGAGTCGGACCATGGACTTGGTGCTTTTCCAGACGTTCGGCCTGCATCGTCAGTAAGCCTCGTCAGATGAATAAGCCTCAAGGTGCCATTTATTTTTCCTTCGCCTTGCCTCCTGAAAGACTATCTGTTTCAGGGTGAACTTTAGCTAAACTCTTTAACATACTGGGGCCTACACTCATCTGAATGTGGTAAAACTATCGGTCCTTAAAGCACCTTAAGCGATCTAAGTTGAATGAGCTGCTAACTAATTTTCCTAATTAACGTTGCCACTATTCAAGGAATGCAGGATGAACCACATAAGGGCCAGGTCGCATCGAATGAGAACACACAACCAGTATGGATACTACACAGTGATGTGTTTAATCGGATTCAAAACAGAGGATGGCATTGCTTTCGCATCACCAAACCCACTCGCTACTTTCCGAACAAGTAGCCTTCGGGACTATCAGTAATTCTTGAATAATAACTTAGTCAGTCTAGTTAGCTTGAAATAATTGATAATGAGATTTCGCAAGATCAGAAGAGTAGACATGCCCCCCTCTACTGGGATTCGACCTTGTCCTGAATGTCATGTCGAAGTTGCCACTGCACCACATAGCAACAGATGTCGGTGGGTCACATGTATAGTGTCTGCCATTGTAATCGATAATGCTACTTATTTTTACTTTAAGTGGCTTTTGAGATAATCAGTAATTCTTGAATAAGAGATTTGACAAATTAAAATTAAATTTAATCAAGTTAATATATTTCTAGACATGAAGATCAAAATGGTGGCGATCTGTTTGGTCGCGCGCTACTTTAGCTTTATAATATTGATTTGACCTCGTTTTCGTAACTTGCTTGGAATACCAGCGAGACCTTGTGGAACGTGTCTAGTTATAAGTCCTCTGCCATAGTATTCCTGATTTCCAGCATCGGACCATTGACTTGGTACATTCCCAAACATCTCGCCGGCATCATCAGGGAGAGGTGCCACAATCAGCTTAGAGTTACGACCTATCAAAGTGATAAGTAAAGGCAATCTCGTTGGCCAATTTTCTGTTCAACCGTTGTGGCATTACTTTTCGCCCTTATTTTTAGCCCTAACTTCTAATGCTGTATCTATTTCACTCAACCCCATCACTTGGACCACTTACATACTCACACAATTCTGTGCTCTAGTTTTCTCCAATGTCGGTTCCACAACATCTGGAACCGGTGGTGAGGATGAGTATGTCTCACTAAATCCACTCGTAGCGACATACTCTTAGGCGACATTGAAAGAAGGTAGAGCGCAGAATTGTGTGAATAATTGAATGGGCCATATAAGTGGGGTTGAGAGAAGGAGGTGCAGCATTACAAGGTAGAACAAACAATAGGGGTGAGGAGTGATGTCACAACAGATGAACGGAAAATTGGTCAAGGGGATTGCTTTCACTTGCCACTTTGATAAGTTGCAACTCTATGCTGACTATGGCACCTCTCACTAACAATGCCGACGAAATATTTGGAAATATATCAAGTCAATGGTCCGATGGTAGAAATCACAAATACTATAGCACTCACTTATCGCATGACTAAGTACACTCTCCAAGGTCTTCCTGATGCTCCGACCAAGTTATGAAACCGAGGCCGAAATAACACTTTTGCTATTTGGTGGGTTTATTAATTAATTGAATTACATTGAAATCTCGTGCAGGCCTACCTTAAATCGCCAAGTCGGCTTCAATCCGAAAGCGAACCAACTGGTCGCCCAGGCGACTGCAAAAGTGGCCGAAACCAAGAGACTGGCAAGCATCAGACCGTTCCGACTGGCCCAGTAGACGCGCAGGCAGGTCCAGGCTACTGGTACCTTCAAGCTGAGCATGGCCAGAGTGGCCAGGCCGACAGTGAGGAAGAGGAGGCCGAGATTCGAGCACCAGGCGCCCAGAGACTCAATGCCATAAAGAGTGCAACTGGCAGTCTTCAGCCTCCTCAGACCGTACCGTTTGTGCGTCGACTGGCCGCAAAGTCGAGACACTCCAGGCCGTGTTGATAGGCCGCCGGCCGAGCCGGCCGAGCCAGCCTCGGCACCGTTGCTGCCGACGCCGAGACTAAGACCGAGGCCGGTTGTGCCTCGGAAGCCAGGGCCGACGACTTCAGAGTCGAGACCTCCGGCTAGCATACCCGCTAGGCCAGGGCTGCTGGCGCTTCGCTCCACGGCGTCCACGAACCCGGAGGCAGTTGCGGCGCCGGGGTCAATTGAGCCCTGGACGGCGTCGTGTCCGGCAAAATAGTTCGTCTTGTAGGACGAGACGCCCATCAAGAACTGGCTGTAGCCGTACTCGAAGACGCCGACAAACAGGCCAAACATAACAAGGCTGCCGAAGCTGGAGAGCAGCAGAGCCGAGAAGTTGGCCAATTCGACGGCTTCTGGCTCAAGTCCGGGCTCAAGAAGGCTGAATCCGGTCGGGTCCACCTCACGGCCTACAGAGTTGGTCTTGAATCTTGCGTTACCGTTGACGCCGCCGGTGATGGACGACACTTGTTGACGCCAACGACCGTTGGGTCCGGAGAGGACAGCGGCGAGATTTGCTCCGCTGGCGGCCGTGCTGTCGGCGAGAAGATGGTGGTTCCAGGCGAGTTTGACGAGTACTCCGGCAGCGCTGAACTCAGTCAACGCCTGGAGGCTGGCGAGCAAGAGAAGAAAGGAGAAGAGAAAAGCAAACGGTCGATTGGTGTACCAGAAGACGGAGGGGTAGCGCAGCAGGAAGATGAAGAAGGCGAGTGCCAAGTTGAAATATTCAGGCGTCATTGCAGGCAGATTGTCCCAAGAAGCCTCTCGTGACGGACCACTCGAGGATGTCTCGGCCACTAAAGTCGGCTTCGCGTCACTCGGCTCAGCGTTTTCGGGCTCCGTGGACATAACATCTGGGCCGAGGAGTATGTCGAGATCGGATCGCCAAATGCGGTCTGTTATAATGTACAGAAGAAGGAGAATAAAGGTAGAAAAGCCATAGAGTATTTTCTAGGAGTGCATTTCGAAAGCATCAACAATTCTTGTGCAGGAATGTAAGCACTCTGGTGCGCTTGACGTGACTTTAGGATTCAGAGAGGAATGTTCCCCAAGAGGGATTAAGTTGGCCCGATGAGGCCGCTAAATTTCAATTCGTTTGTATGAAGTGGTCACTTTCGCAACTTAATCTTGTTTTCAAAGAGACTTAGTGAACTTGAACCGTCGACTTCTGCGAATGTACTGAGTCCATGGTACAACGCTGAAAATTATCATGGCCACTATGGCTGAGAATTTTGGACAAGATACATTCGTCTAGATCGTCCCGATACCTCGGCTAAGTTGCGGAGATGGGGTCAAACCACTTCTATATGGCGAAGGGATACTGCGAACAAAATGAAAGCCACACAATTTGGTAGTCTTGTCTACCAAATGGTCTACTTACTCAGACTAGGTTGCAGTTTCATCACCATCAAATGTATCGAAAACACTTCCGATGGGGATGGAAATCGTGTTATCGGTTATACAGTCACAAGTGGCAGAGTATGATAGAAAATATGTGGCCCTCTAGTCATACAAGGCTGCTCCCAAATCACATTTCGCCATGTTATTATCGGTAATGCAAACGAATCCGGCGACGTTGAATCAGAAGTCAACCCAAGATGAAAGAACTTTCTAGGTGGCAGAGATAAGGGAAATTAAATTATATCGAGAGGCCAGTTAATATCATCTTAAAAACTCTTAACTATCAGTCCTTAAATCATCTAAGTTGACTAGGATTTTATTCAAGAAGTCTCCGAAGCCACTTATATGGAAATTAAGTGACGTCATCGATCACAAAAGCAAACACGTCGATTTAATCGACAATTCCATTATGAAATGTGAGTGTCTAGACCTAGTTACGCTAGCTTTTCAGCCATTCTTTGAAAAAGCTCGTTAGGTAGTAACTAAAATGACGAGTATATCAAGAAGGCACAATCCTATAAAGACAAACAAAGTATATTGAGTGATCATGTGCCCTAGTGAGCAATCCTCTATTTCGCACCTGCCTTCGCTGACGACCTGATTAAAAGTTGACATACAATTCAGTTAATTGAATAGGCAAGTGGAAGGGATTCGTAATTCGGCATCATGGGAAGTCAAATGGGGATTACTTCGGAGCTGTGAACGTAGATTTGTGCGAATAGGTCCTCGGCTCACCGTCCCACAACCCCGATGAAACCTTGCTGGGATTTCGTCCGTCATGTGACGGACATTATCATGGCAGAAACCCATTTTTTACAATAGTTCACCATATATACAAAGACAAAAAGATTACCATCGGCAAATATACCTACTTCTTACGATCTAAATTTGTCCATTTAACGATACCTCTCGTGATTTTGTTAAATATCCTATGCTTTTTCAACATGCTTCCTGAAAAGTGAAGTGTCCGCGGATGAACTGATGCAATTTAGACTATTTTATGTTAATAGCAATTACTCAATAGGATTAGTTGATAATTTTTGACAAATAATATCAAATATGATAGAGAGAAGAATCTATATAGGGCAAGATAGAGAGATGAACAATTCCACTGGGGTCATAGTGCTACCGTTCCTAAAGCTATAGAAAAAGAAAGGTGAATAACTGAGGGAATGGGACACCAGGATATTGTAATCGAAGAAAGTAATATTT